GGACGCCCGAGAGACACAGAGAGGACCCCTGATTCCGGAACCCCCCCCCCAACTAACCCTACACCCTAAACGGTTTGAAACAGGATCCCCTTGGCCTCTCTGCCGATGGCGATATGGACACCTTCAAGCGACGAAGAGCTGTCGAGCTGAAGCACGGGCGCATCTGCAACTCAGTCTTAATTAGATCAAGGGCATTCGCTGTCAGAGGGAATGCCTTCGTTCAGTATACGACTGCAGTATGGAGCTGAAGCATGGAGAAGCAGGAAAAGGTTTAGAAGATGAACAGGCGGGGCCTGAGCCCTTAAAGTTCAGATCTAAGATCTGGGACACCCTCTCAAAGCACCGAAGCAGTGCATCGTATGCTTGCATCAAGCGCAGCCCATTCAAGCAGCAATGAAAAAGCAGAATGTGAAATGTTTGGCCTAGGCAGGCCACCAAAAATCTTGTAGTCCCTGCATGACTGTAGCTTAATGGTGCTTAGTATAGAATGAGGGAATTTCATCCGTGAATATTCCCTATAATGTATACTCCGTATTCCCTACTAAGCTCCAGTAAGACAATGCCCCAAAACCCTATTCTAAAGGGTCTTTCCCAGGGATCCCCCTGATACTCTTGATATCCTTGTATATCCGGTGGGTCTTCCCCGTTTGGAAAAACCCTTAAACACTTAGACCCCTACACTAGCTTCTGCAACTGCGATTCGGGTTCGGTGCTTCCAGGCATGTTGGCTTGCGTCGGCTACATTGTGCCGGAGTACTTCAGATGCTGACTTGCAGTTAAGGACTTTTCATGTGCCACCAGAAGGAAACCCTCTCCCTAATGGCCCGTTGAACAATAGTCAAACAGTTCTGCATAGTTGTACTAGACATGTTTTGGAAAGTAGATGTTACTTCTACATTTTTACGACTCCTCAGTTTTGCTGGTTCTAGGTAGGGCATAAGGGAATATTTTGCAGAGATTACATTCCCATATTCCCTGCGAAGAACCGTTAGTTCTTGGGGTCCCCATACTAAGGATTGTAATATTTGTGGGTCGACATTAGGGCCCCCTTTCTAGGGAACCTACCACCTCTTTTAAAGGACTACAAACCCTAAACCCTAAACCCCAAACCCTAACTCTGCTTGAAAACAGCAACTTAGGATGGCCGGGCTACCTGCATCTGGGCTCAGTTGAAGCAGAGGATGGTTTAGGGTCCAGGGTTTAGGGTTCAGGGTTTAGGGTCTAGGGTTCAGGGTTTAGGATTTAGGGTTCAGGGTTTAGGGTGTAAGGTACTACATAGAGGCTGCGTAGGGTTGTAGACAGAGGGATTCTAGGAATTGCGTAGGATGGTGTTGTGCTTCTCAAAGTCAGTATGGGTATTCTATTGAGGTTATATAGAGTTATTGACAAACGGAATGTCTAGGGCGTCTAGGGATTGATTGTCTGGAGATTGTATAGGGACATATAGGGACTGTTTACGGATCATACGGGGATTGTACAGGGGCCTTGTCTTGTTCTTGTTGTGATTCGTGAAATCATGACGACAGACGATGATCATACTAACTTCGGCCTGGTTTGGGTAGGTGTTCTGTGTTTCGATTAAGACATATCATAACGCATTGGAAATTATGGCGGCTTCGAGGCCCGCATTGCCATGGAACTCAAGTACTGTCTTTGCAGGGTTTGCAGGGTTGCTGTGGACTCGGTGTTTTTTTCTGAAGTTGCCTTTGCACCGTGCACCCGCTCGGACCCGCCAAGCTTAACAAGCGCCATCAGGCTGGTTCTCAGGCTGGTTTTTGCGTCGTGGGCTATAAGCCATAAGATGAATGTAGCTCCACTGTAGGTACTAGAGCCGTCGCACTTCAAACCTCTCAGCTAGAATGTTTTCACTGGGCTATAACTTTGGCACCATTTCATCTTCGGACTCTACAAACATGGCCAGTAGTCTCTTCCACACTCCATCAAGCCCGAGCAGGCTGGTGCGGGAGGTAGGCAACATGTGAGCCTCGTGACCTTGCAGGTCCAAGATGATTGTTCATTATTTTCAACAGGAATACGGGCCAAACTCATGGTCCTGTCTCTGCTTCTGGCACATACAAGCAATTATTCTTCGTAGGGCATGCTTCCATGGTTTCGGGGCTCACGCTGCATTACGAGAAGATTCCGCAGATGAAGGATCAAGGGGTCAAAATCTTGAGTTGCTCCTTCCTTACATTCAAGTATACCGGCAAGGGAAGTCAAATGGAAAACACACGGAAAATGAAATGGAAGCCTTGATTATATAGTGGTTAGTAGGGATTGGGGATGCGCGGCAAACAACCTAGACCAAGAACCTTAAGCCCTAAGTCCTGAACCCTGAGTTTTCCAGGAGAAACTAGTTCTTACACGGACCAACAGACCAAGGAGGTCCCCTGGAATAGTACTCCATATATTCCTCGGGTCCCTACTCCCCGGATTGCCACTCTTTCGGGGAAATTTCACATGGGCCCTGCCTTGTACGGAAGCAAGAAGGTTTTCTGGCAGTTATATAGATTATTATAGGGGAGTAGAAAAGGGGATACGAAAGGATTCGATTTCCCTTATGCATCTCCCACTAAGCAACGGCACCGGGTAGCTGCAACCTGCATGTCCCACCTTCCGTCTGGTTATACCTGATTCTGAGTAGGAGTGTCGGGACGTCATCCTCCCGAGGCCTGTTTTGGGCAGCCAGCGAGAATTCTGAGAAAAAATGCCGACAGAGCCTACAGCACGGTTTCCTTGCGGACAACCTCTGAAACTCCCTTTACCTCACACAAAAAACCTCGGCCCTCTCACGAGTATAAGTCCTCATTCCTGAGGTCCCCGGAGAAGGGCATCAAGTTCGCTGAGGCGACCGCGTCTTTTGTTTAGTCCTGGGTGCAGTGAAGGTCCACAGGACAGGGTGGGGCGAGAAGAAGGTAAATGAAAGCATTCTGGTGGAATGATCTCACGCTTGTGGCATAAGCGCGAAGACAGATAGCCTGATATCAACACATGTCAAAGCTGAAAGGCCTCAACTTTGTTAGTTGATGTCAGTTGCTTTGCCGCTTGCAACGAGTTTGGAGGGTTGGCTCCATTCAGTAGCTCTCACCTAAACCCGAAAGTTTGTAGCAGACGATCGGACAGGGTTCTGTGCTTAAACGCTAGGCTATGAGGTTTGTGTAGGTTGTAACCCTAAACTAAACCCTACGTAGGGCTTAGAGTTTAGGACCTAGGGCAAGGTAGGATGTCCTGTCCCTTGCTGGCACGCCAAGCACGACGCCAATGTTTGCAGAAATCATTGTCACCCAGCACAACCTCTAGAAGCACTCTGGCAAGCGAAGCCCGAGCACATTCGGGTGATGGCGACCAGACTTGAACTTATGCACCACCCCTACTCTGTCCGTGCAACCCTTGCATGTACGTCAGATGCATAATCAACTACCTGATGCCATTCCTTTGCAAATCGTGTCTCTTTGTGAAAAACTGCCGACACGAGCGTCATGCCAAATGTACGTGTCCTAAGCTCGTCGTGACCCTATGCACCCTAAGCCCACTTAACCTTCGAAACTCTACAAAGCCCGAGCTCTTCACCCCAAGCCCTAAGCCCCAGAACAGCATCGCTATGCAGGTGCCGCATGGCATTGC